CAGCACCTTTCCTTATGACTGAAACTCTCCTGGAAGTTGTTGGGCGGGGCGGAAGAGAGGAACCAGAAAACCACATAGGTATTTGGCATTGCCAAAAAGACATTAAGAGTTGTTAACCTAATCTTGCGTAGCTTCTTCTCTGGTAATATTGTACTACTAACCAGAGCATACAAAACCTTTGCTAGACCAATTCTCAAATACAGCACATCTGTCTGGAACCCACACAACATATTGGACATTAATACAATTGAGCGAGTCCAGAGATACTTCACGAGGAGAGTCCTCCGCTCCTCTGCTTGCAACAGAATCCCTTATGCCGCCAGACTTGAAATTTTGGGCTTAGACAATTTAGAACTACACCGCCTTCAGTCTGACATAAGCATAGCACATAAAATTATCTGCTAAAATGTCCTACCTGTCAATAACTGCTTCAGTTTCAACCACAACAATACACGGGCACACAATAGGTACAAACTCAAGGTAAACTGCTCCAAACTCGATTGCAGAAAATACGACTTCAGCAACAGAGTGGTCAACGCCTGGAATGCACCACCTGACTCTGTGGTTTCTTCCCCAACCCCCCAAAACTTTAACCTTGGACTGTCTACTGTCAACCTCACCCCATTCCTAAGAGGTTTGTAAGGGGCTACCGTCCCTATCCTAATGTTTAATTGTATCCATTTCATGTATTCAAAATCATGTTTATACTTATATATGTTATCTAATACATGTTTGACAAAATAAATAAATAGAATAAATATAAATATAAATAAATAAAGTATAATACAGTGTAATTGATCAACCATTTCTTGATTATGCCATAAATTGCATGTTTCGCATGATGTGTTCCAGGCCCAACAGTGCCCTCTGCTGGTTGTTAAAGATAGTTTTGCTCTGTAAAGATATGTTTTTATTTAAGATTCAGAGAGTAAGATATATGGAATATTTTATTTTGGCTGTCCATTGTTTGAATAAGGCCTGAGAATAATGCTTGTTTTGAAATAAGCATGCCTGGGCTGTATATAGCACTTTCTTTTGTAATCTGGAGGCGCACAGTAACTTCCTGTGTTGTGCTCTGCTGCTAACGTGGCAATTTGCCAGGAAGAACATTATTTCCATTTGATCTGAACAAAGGACATCCCTGTTCACTGTGACCGCGCCCAGTTCAGCATCTTTCACAACAGGGACCAGTCAGGAAATGTCTTAATGTCTCAAGTTTTTTCTCCAGCAACTCAACTTCAGGAAAACAAGAGACAGCAGAGTGATCCTTGGGGGTAAGATAGGAGGTGTGTGAAAGAGAGGCCCAAGCTGTTTCTTCCAGTTTCATCTCTTTCTTAGTAAGATACCATTGAGCCTGGTTTTATTCTAAATGCTCAGCAACGTATAGCTTTTCAAGTATATTCCGTTAATTTCTCAGCTCTGCCCATCTGCCGTATCAATGCCATCATCTTGTTTCTCTCAGCTTTGCCAAACGTAATCAGTCCCTCATCTGCTCACATCGCATGACCAAAATATCAGTGGAAGAGAATGCATATATAGCTCCGGGTTGGATCCAATGGAAGTCCCTTGGCATCTTCTGAGCTTGGTTGGTTGCTTACAGACATTTCATTACCCAATTAAGTAACATCATCAGTGCTAGTAAAGATGTGGTTTATTCCCTGTTCCTATACAGCAGCTTACCCTGCTATGTTGGTAGGGATGTGGTTTTTTCCTTGATAGTTCTTTCATTGGGGACTGTTTTCTGCTTGATTGTTTTTCTGGTGTTAAAAGCTTGCTGATTTGGGTATTGGTTGCTGGAGAGGATGTGTTCTGGTATTTTTGTTTCCTTCTTAGCTTTTTGATTGTCTCTTTTGAATATTGTATAAATATGATGTATCTTTATGTGTCTGTGGAATACCAAAGTTCTAGGAATTCTATAGCATCTTTGGATTTAGTTGATCTTAGGATGCTCAGAGTTTCCCAGTTGTGAAATTAAAGAGTTTCTATTATGTCATCCAACTGCTATTTGGTCTTCATGGATGTGCTCTGCTAGTCTTTTGCCTAAAGTTAACAATCTTTACACTATATTATAGATTATGCCTGTTTTTATTTCCATCAAAGTAAAAGTAGATCTCAGGCAGAGGTTGATAAGGTCTGGGACTCTGGGTACTTCAATCTCGGTATATTTGGCTAGATCGGGTGTGTTGTGTAGCTCTGTTGCCATGGATTCTTTGGCTAGTTCTGGATCTATAGGTATAAAGGGTAGTGTGACATCAAATGAAATGATAATTTCATCTTGAATTTTATCTGGAAAGACTGTCAAAGATCTATAAGTAGAAGATAAAACTATCATTTCATTCAATGACACAGTTCTTTGTGGCTGGTTGTCTCTTAAGTTTAAGGTTTAAGGTTTATTAAAATTTGTATGCCGCCCACTCCTATCGGGACTCATTGATAGTTAGTAGAGTTTGAAGCAGAAGTCCCCACTGGTAGTTAGTAGAACTTGGTAGATAAACACAAAGCATTGCTTGCATCTCCTGGCTTAATCCCCAAGTATCAGTAAAGGAACTGAAGTGGGAAGACAGGCAAAGGGAGGGTAATGAAGCATCGGGGTTCGTCAGATGTTTGGCGCTGTTGATGGTGGTTGGGGCCTCAGGAGGTCTCCCCTGTTGGAAATTGGAATGGCTGCTTCCTGCATGGAGCTTTTAGGTTCAGTGACAGTATATTTCTGGGTTAAGCCTGACAGGGTTGTGGGGAAGCAACAGGAGAGGATTCTTGGCCCTTTGACTTCATCTAGAGCTGTGGTGGCGCAGTGGTTATAATGTGGTGCTGCTGAGTGCCTGCTGCCAGAAGTTTGGCAGTTTGAATCTTACTGGCTCAAGATTGATTCAGCCTCCCATCCTTCTGAGGTGGGTCAAATGAGGAACCAGATTGTTGGGGGCAAGAGGCTGACTCTGTAAACTGCTTAGAGAGGGCTGGAAAGCACTGAGAAGCACTATATAAGTTTAAGTACTAGTGCTATTGCTATCTTGCAACACAAAGAACTCATAAGCTTGGATAAGAGAAATATGGGAGTGAATGCAAAAAAAAAAAAAAAAAAAAGTCAAATAACCGAACACTTTCCCCAGTGGTATTAACGTTTTCAGTTTCTTTTCACTGACTTGGAGTTTTCCACACCACTTGCTGGAAATTTTCAGGAAGGCAACCTGTTTTCTTAAAAGAGAGATTCATCTCCTATTCTAAATCAGTCAGATTCTAAAAGCAATTTATTATTCCTTTAGTCAGCCTGTAAAACTTCTTTTAATCTGAGAAGTACAGAAACTTCCTTGGTTCATGTTGATGTTCTTTGTTTTAATTTGTTTTTATTTTATTTAGAACAAAGTTAAAATACAAAATAAAAACCTCAATAAAAATCCAAGAAGACATAAAAGAATAAAACACAAAACAGTCAGAATATTTTTTAAAGGGTGCATTAAAAAACCCTCAAAAAACACATTACAGGTAATCTTTGAGTTACTAATGTAACTCAAATTACATTTGTAACCTGAGGATTCGTTAATAGAATCTTAAATGAACATGATCCCTCCCTGCTTTATCCAATGCATTCACTAATCAAATGTGCAGGTTGCTATGAGCACATGAGTCTCTCAGGGTGGGGAAGAACATGTGGGGCCCAATGCTGAAACAGACCACTCAAAGCCTCCCTTGGCTCTCTGAGATATTTCACACTCACTTACAATCTCTTGGGGCCCCCACAGTTGCTCCCCCTCCCTCCTTCCCCAGGCACCGGGCCTGCTTTGTTTGTCTCCTGGACCCCACTTGCTCCACCCCCCTACCTATCACTCCCTTGCTTTTAGAAGATCTCCAGAATCCCAGAACCTGTGGCAAAAAACCCCAAGTCTTTTATTCAGATGCTGGTGGAGCTTTAAGAATGTGAGATCTGGGGATTCATCAGCTTCACCAGCATCTGAATCGTTTTCTGAAAAGGTGAGTCAGCCTATTTTGCAACACTGGAGATCCTCTAAAAGTAAACAAACGATGGGAAATGGGGTGGGGGGCAGCAAGTGGAATCCAGGAGGCTGGGAAAGCAGGCCCAGGGCCGGGGGAGGGAGGCAGGGCAGGATCGTCATCTTTTAAGGATTCCACCACCCCTCGCAGGGTGGAGTCTGGGCAACTGAATGGAGGTGGAGTTTTGTTCAGCAGATGTATTCTCACTGTGCCCAGAGAGAGAAATATCTGCCTCTACCTAGGGTTGAATGGGGAAGGATGCCGGGTGGGGGTGGGGATAGGCAGGGGGCATGTTGCAGCATCTCTGTGGTCAGTGGTAAGGGGGAACGACTGTGTGGTGTTGCTGCAATATACGTAACTTCAGGACTGGGCCGTAAGTACTTTTTTTTTTGGGGGGGGGTAATCCTAATTTTGAACGGTCAGTAATTGAACCGTCATAACTCAAGGAATACCTCTATGCGCATATTATCCCTTCTAGTAGAATACTGATTAATATATTAGTTCCCACCCCTTGCAGAACAGGCCCTCCCAAAATTTTAAAGCTACTGAATCTATTAGCAATTTGTTGACCTGTCTTTTATTTGTTATATTAATGACAAAAAGTGGTTAGCAGGAAAAACAATAACAGTAAAACAGAACAAGATTAAAATTTCAAATCTGTCTGAAATCTGTCTGTTAACAAGCTGTTAACTTGTAGAATTCACTTGTAGAAAATTTGCCACAGCATCTTAACCCTCCCGGATCATTCCAAAAGTTATAAATAGATAGTCGGGTCAAAAATCCATGTTTCTTTCTTAATATCCTCTCTTGTCCATTGTTGTTTAATTAAATGTAATGAATTCAGTCTCCAGTATATGTCTATCTTTGAATCAGTGCAAAGCAATAGTAGTTACCAGTTAACCATAATAAATCCATACGGCCTGCTTCATGTTGATTTTCTATTGATAAGAGTCAGTTATCGTACTGAAGGAAAGGCTCGGATGACTCTGGGTGTTTGATTGTTCTTATTACAGACTGGCAGAATTGAACCAAACTACCCCAAAGTCTGCGGCCACCAAGGCAACGTGCTTGATATTAAGTGGAACCCCTTCATTGAAAACATCATTGCTTCTTGCTCAGAAGATACTTCAGTAAGTAAGGATGATTGCAGAAACAATATTTTGGGCAGCTAACAGCTGAAAGGGGATGCACTGGGATCTTTTCATATTTGGTGAACCTCTTCCTTCGTGATTTACAGCAGGGCTCTCCAACCTTGGCAACTTTAAGACTTGAAATCTTAAACTTTAAGACTTGTGGACTTCAATTCCCAGAGTTCTGGGACTTGAAGTCCACAAGTCTTAGAGTTGCCAAGGTTGGAGACCCCTGATTTACAGGACATTCAAGAGGCAGCCATCAGTTTGCTGACTTCCATGGTTTTCCTGGCGCTACTTAAATCTTGATCTGAAATAATTCCATTTTTTAAAAAACCTTGGCTTTTGTGTAATAGGCTTTTCATTGTATTCCATCGTGGTTTATAAGATTCTTACATCACTTTGACAAGAAAAGGACAATTATAGCAGTAGACTTATATACCACTTCATAGGCCTTTCAGGCCTCTCTAAGCGGTTTACAGAGAGTCAGCATATTGCCCCCAACAATCTGGGTCCTCATTTTACCCACCTCG